GGCTGAATGGATAAAAAAACATGACCCATACATCTGCTGTCTACAAGAGACCCACCTCATTAGAAGGGACTCACACAGACTGAAAGTGAAGGGATGGAAAAATATCTTTCAGGCAAATGGAAAGGAAAAGAAAGCTGGGGTAGCAATACTTATATCAGACAAAATAGACCTCAAAGTGAAGGCCATAACCAGAGATAAGGAAGGCCACTTCATAATACTAAAGGGATCAATACAACAAGAAGATATAACCCTGGTAAACATATATGCACCCAATGCAGGAGCACCCAAATTCATAAAAAAACTCCTGGAAGATATCAAAGGAGAGATCGACAACAATACAATCATAGTAGGGGACTTTAATACACCACTGACACCACTGGATAAGCCCGCTAGACAAACAATCAGCAAAGAAACAGCAATCCTAAATGACTCACTAGATCAGATGGACTTAATTGACATCTTCAGAACACTTCACCCCAAAGCCATGGAATATACATTCCTCTCAGGTGCTCATGGGACATATTCAAAAATAGACCACATATTGGGTCACAAGCAAAGTCTCCACAAATTCAAGAAGATTGAAATCATAAAAAGCTTCTTCTCAGACCACGATGGCATAATGTTAGAAATAAACTACAATAAAAACAACCCAAAATACTCAAACACTTGGAAGCTGAATAGCATGTTATTAAATATTGATTGGGTTACCAATGACATCAAAGAAGAAATTAAAAACATCCTGGACACTAATGACAATGAAAACACAACAATCCAAAACCTATGGGACACAATGAAAGCAGTCCTGAGAGGGAAGTTTATAGCTCTACAGGCCTATCTCAAAAAACAAGAAAAAATGGTAGTAAATCATCTAACTCTACAACTCAAAGAATTAGAAAGAGAGCAACAAGAAAACCCCAGAGTGAGCAGAAGGAAGGAGATAATAAAGATTAGAGCAGAAATAAATGACATAGAGACCAAAAAAACAATACAGAAAATCAATGAAACCAAGAGCTGGTTCTTTGAAAGGATAAACAAGATCGACAAACCTCTAGCCAGGCTCACCAAGAAGCAAAGAGAGAGGACCCAAATAAACCAAATCAGAAACGATAGAGGCGAAATAACAACAGACCCCACAGAAATACAAATGATTGTTAAACAATACTATGGACAGCTCTACTCCAACAAACTAGACAACCTGGAGGAAATGGACAAATTCCTAGGAAAGTACAACATTCCAAAACTCAATCAGGAAGAATCTAAAAACCTCAATAGGCCAATAACTATGGAAGAAATTGAAGCAGTCATCAAAAAGCTCCCAGCAAACAAAAGCCCAGGACCAGATGGCTTCTCAGGGGAGTTTTACCAAACTTTCAAGGAAGAACTAAAACCTATCCTCCTCAGACTACTACAAAAAATTCAGGAGGAAGGAACACTTCCAAGCTCATTCTATGAAGCCAGCATCACCCTAATACCAAAACCAGGTAAAGACAACACAATGAAAGAGAATTACAGGCCAATATCCCTCATGAACATAGATGCCAAAATCCTCAACAAAATCTTAGCAAATCGGATCCAACAGTACATCAGAAAGATCATACACCATGACCAAGTAGGATTTATCCCAGGAATGCAAGGATGGTACAACATCCGTAAATCAATAAACGTAATACATCACATAAACAAATTGAAAGAAAAAAACCACATGGTCATATCAATTGATGCAGAAAAAGCATTCGACAAAATCCAACACCCATTTTTGATAAAAACTCTCAGCAAGGTGGGAATAGAAGGATCATACCTCAACATAATAAAAGCCATATATGACAGGCCCACAGCCAACATCATACTCAATGGACAAAAACTAACACCATTTCCCCTAAGAACAGGAACAAGACAGGGATGCCCACTCTCGCCACTCCTCTTTAACATAGTCCTGGAAGTATTAGCCATTGCAATTAGACAAGAAGAAGAAATAAAAGGCATCCAAATTGGAAAAGAGGAAGTAAAACTGTCCTTATTTGCAGACGACATGATATTATACATACAAAACCCTAGAGACTCCATCAAAAAACTACTAGACTTAATACATGAATTTGGCAATGTAGCAGGATACAAAATTAACCCCAAGAAATCTGAGGCATTTCTATACACCAATAGTGAACTTTCAGAAAGAGAGATTATAAAAACAATCCCATTTACCATCGCACCAAAAAAATTAAGCTACCTAGGAATAAACTTAACTAAAGAGGTAAAAGACCTCTACTCAGAAAACTACAGGACATTGAAAAAAGAGATAGAGGAAGACATAAAGAGATGGAAGAACATACCATGTTCTTGGATTGGTAGAATCAACATCATTAAAATGTCCATACTACCCAAAGCAATCTATAAATTCAACGCACTTCCCATTAAAATACCAATGGCCTACTTCAAAGATCTAGAACGAACTCTCCAAAAATTCATCTGGAATAAAAAAAGACCCCGAATAGCTGCAGCGATCCTGAGAAAGAACAAAGTAGGTGGGATCTCAATGCCAGATATCAAGCTGTATTACAAAGCCACTGTTCTCAAAACTGCCTGGTACTGGCACAAGAACAGACATATAGATCAGTGGAATAGAATAGAGAGTCCAGAAATTAGCCCGAACCAATATGCTCAATTAATATTTGACAAAGGAGGCAAGAACATACAATGGAGCCAAGATAGTCTCTTCAATAAATGGTGTTGGGAAAATTGGACAGATATATGCAAGAAAATGAAACTAGACCACCAACTTACACCATACACAAGAATAAACTCAAAATGGATAAAGGACTTAAATGTACGACAGGAAACCATAAAAATTCTAGAAGAATCCAAAGGCAACAAAATCTCAGACATATGCCAAAGCAATTTCTTCACTGATACAGCTCCTAGGGCAGTTGAAACTAAAGAGAAAATGAACAAATGGGACTACATCAAAATAAAAAGCTTCTGCACAGCAAAAGAAACCATCAACAAAACAACAAGAAAACCCACTGCGTGGGAAAACATATTTGCCAACGTCATATCTGATAAGGGCCTAATCTCCAAAATTTATAGGGAACTCATACAACTTAACAAAAAGAAGATAAACAATCCAATCAAAAAATGGGCAAAGGATCTAAATAGACACCTTTCAAAAGAGGACATTCAGAAAGCCAAGAGACATATGAAAACATGCTCAAAGTCACTAATCATCCGAGAGATGCAAATCAAAACAACAATGAGGTACCATCTCAGGGGATTGTAAGGGCGGGGAAAAAAAGGACACATATGTAATACCCTATGTAATACTTTAAGCAATAAAAAAAATTAAACCCTGAAAAAAAAAAAGAATATAGGATGGGGCAAAAGTAGGTTTACAGTTGTCAGTATGCAAAAACAGTGTTTATGCTTGTATTATTATTTATTAATTAATGTATTATTTTCCATAAAAACAACTGTAAATCTATTTTTTAAACGTTTAATCATCTTTATTTTTTTTCTTTATTTTTGTTAATCCTCACCCGAGGATATTTTGCCATTGATTTTTGGAAAGAATGGGAGAGGGAAAGACAGAAAGAAACATCGATGTAAGAGAAACACATCGATTGGTTGCCTCCTGCAGGAGCCCTGACCAGGGCCAGGGCCAGGGAGGAGCCTGCAACCAAGGTACATGCCCTTGACAGGAATCGAACCGGGACCCTTTGGTCCGCAGGTTGATGCTCTATACACTGAGCCAGACCGGCTAGGGCTGTAAACATATTTTTTCCCACCCTGCATAAAACATTCTGGAAATTAAATAGTTAAACAGGAACCCCCTTTCTTACCCCTCATCCTGAAGTGAAAGATGCTTAATGGTATCCTACAGGAAGTCACAACATCTACAGGTCTACCCAGTGGAAAGAATATATTCATTTTTAGTTTTGACCCAATCAGGAAGTTACTTTTACACCCATGGGAGCTGACCAGAACCCCTCTCAAAATGGCAGCAGAATCAAAGGCAGCTGGTCTGACAGCTCCAGTGTATGCTGACTGCAGGAGGGGCAGGCAGAGCCACAGCACCATGCAAACAGGAGGAGCTGCCTTCCCACAGTAAAGGAAGCCGAGCAGCAGATACTTCCCAGAGAATCTTAGCGGAAAGCTAAGTGTCCTTAATGAGATTTTTAAAAGACATGATACTTAAAGTAAACTTTGAAAATATGACCCATTAAAAACAAAAACATATTTCTGGATTATAATATAGCAAAATAACTTGTCACAAGACAAAACCTGTGTTGATACAAACAAAAAATCAGAATGTGGGCAAAGCGAAGCAGAGCAACGGAGGCCAAGCAAGCACAGAGACCATGGCCTAGCTGCAGGTATTGGGGGGAATGGGTGCCACATAAGCATTCATGCACACGCCACAGCATAGTATTTAACGTAATTTGTCTCTGTCTGGGCGGCTCCAAGTTATCCAAGCACAGGATAGCTCTATAATCATCAACTGACAACCTGGTATTGTCAGGTTGATGACTCCTCCACAGGTTATTACCTTGAGCAACTCATACTCCTGAATATTGCTAGTATTAGGAAGACAATAAAAATTGTAAGAGAATATGCAGAAAATAACACATTTTTTGTTTTAAAGTGATGACATTATGGATGATTTTCCCCTCCTGCTTTCCAAACAATCCTAATGCTTTTATTACATTTTATTTCCAAAATAAATAAATAAACATCAAATACAACTGGTACAAAAAAAGAAGCAATATGCTCTAAAAAAAAAGCATTAAAAATCTTTCACTTTAAACTTGGGAATTTTATAATTAATTCCAGTAGCAAAATTACAAATGTCTATATAAATGGTGGGGATAGAGTGCCATGTGACTCATGAGAGGGCCTTAGAATGAAATCATCCTGAATATCACTTGGCTCCTTCTACTTTTCTTTTTAACAACATGTTGCTTATTTCCCTACAACGCAAATCTCATATTATATATGAAGAAAATTTTTACCTAAAATCCTTATATTCTTCTACTTGTCGTTTCCATGGACAGCTCTGTATATTTGTGATAATCTGAAGATAGTCATCCTCTGAATACCTAAGAATCAAATATTAACAAAGTTAGAAAATAAAGATCTCACATACTGCTAAGCAAATATATGCATGTTCTAAAGGACACTTTTAAAATATACTAATTTTAATCCTCTAAGTCTTTTCTAAAATAAAGGAGAAATAAGTAAATGTGTACCCATTTAAAAACTTCTAGGAACATACAATTCACAAAGAATTACTATGCTGATTTAAGAATGTGTAATTTGCACATAAGTCATATCTAGTATTACAAGCAATGACATCACACCAACCCACATTCCTATCTTATGGCCATTTCATCTTAGCTTCAACTCATTGACAAATAAATATATTTTTATAGGTATTTATCATAAATATATAGTTTATCATTTTTTTTCAGAGTCTAAGTTGATAGATTTACCTTGGGATATAGATAAAATTTCTTCAAAAGAATCATCCTAAATTTTAAATCTGAACAGTATATTAAAAGAATAGATTGAGCTCAATTTGTAGGCATAGTGGTACAGTTTGGTAGGATCCCAGTCCCCCCCAGATTTCCTTCTACCTGAAATTCCATCATCAAGTATCAATTCCTTTAATTACAGCATATTCTTTAGTCTTTAAGGGTTATCATTTAAAATACAACTATCCTTTTGGACAAAAAAACCCCACAACTTTAAATTTTATTTCAATTAATACCTTAGCCATTAGATGCCAGAATTTGAGAGCAAAGGTCTACAACAGGAAGAAAGAGTATATGTTGGTGAGGGGGTGGAGAAGGAAGAGGACAGTAAAGAATCTTGTCAGAAAATCACTTCCCTCATCCCCATACAGAAAAATGCAGATTCTCCAAAGTTATCTCAGAAAAGAGGTATTTATTATAGGTGGGGAAGATAGTCAACCAAGCAGCTCCTTTGCCCCTGAAATTACCTCCCTTTTGGGTTTCTCTCTCTTTTCATATTGCTGCCAAGGTTAATAAAAAAATATTTTCCCTTGGTTTCCACTGGCCCAGCTAAGAATAGCTAAAAGAAATCTCAAAAAATTTTTTTAGCTAAATACAAAAAAAGAAGCAGAGCACAGAAATACCACAGGAAAGATTAAAAATAGTTGTATTGTGCCCTGGCTGGGTGGTTCAGTTGATTGGAGTGTCATCCCATGCACCAAAAGGTTGTTAGTTTGATTCCTGGTCAGCTGATTTCTCAACAGAAACTTTGCAGGCCAGAAGAGAGTGGCAATAAATATTCAAAGCAATGAGCAGCAAGGACCTACAAGCAAGATTACTCTACCCAGCAAAAGTATCAATTAAATTAAAGTCAGATAAAGAGCTTTACAGATAAGAAAAAGCTAAAGGAGTTATTCACCATGAACCAGTATTACATGAAATGTTGAAGGGTATTCTTTAAAAAGAGGAAGAAGCAGAAGAAGAAAAGGATAAAAAAATATGAACAATAAAATAGCAATAAAACATATCGATTAACAATTGAATCTAAAAATCAAAATAAGTGAATAGGGAATCTAATGAACAAAATAAACAGGTGAATAATATAGAATCAGAGGTATGGAAACATGAAACAGACTGATGAATCTCAGGCAGAAGGGAGGAGGGGAAGAGATTAACCAAAGATTTTAGATGCATATATGCATTACCTATGAACACAGACAATAGGGTGGTGAAGGCCTGGGGTGGGGTGGGAACTGGGTGGAGGGGGCAATAGGGGAATAAAGAGGGGACATTCATGATACTCTCAAGAAGAAAAATTTAAAAACACAGACTGCTTATCTCCACCTGGTGGTAGACACCCAGAAACCCTATGCAAGACAAACTGAATAAAAAATTTACAGTCATTCAGTTGTGAGACAATCTCAGGTGGCCAAATACATGTGAAACTATAGTCTTAGCAGGAAAGAAGAGACAAAAAAAATTTCTGAAAAATTTATGGTGGACAAATTTCCAAATCTAACAAAATCTATAAACCCACAGATACAAAAAGCTCAACAAACCTAAAGCACAAAAACACAGGTGAAAAAATACACCAAGGCACATAATAAAATTTATTTAAACCTGTGATAAAGAGAAGATCTTAAAAGTAGTTAGAGAAAAAAGACACATTATACACATAGAAACAAAGAGAAAAATTACAGTAGACTTCTTATGAGAAACAATATAAGTCAGAAGGCAGAGAAACAATGTCATTAAAATACAAAACAGGATTTGGGGAAACTGTCAACCAAGAATTCTATACTTAGCAAACCTTACAATAAATGAAGTTAAAATACAAACTTTTTCAGATATATGAAGCCTAAATGAATTTATACCAGCAAACCTGCAGTGCAAAGAATACCAAAGGAAGTCCTTTAGACAGAAGAAAAATGAAGCCAGATTGAAAACTGGCTTGACACAAAATAACGAAGAGCATTGAGAATATCTACACTAATAAAAGACAAAGATGCTAACTGACCGTACCTTTGCTACACCCACCAGACAATCAGAAGAGTATGCAAATTAACAAAACAAAGATGGCGGTTAATTTGCATACACAGGCACCCAGCGAAGACTGAAGACAGTGTAGAAGGAAGCCAAGCACTGCAGAAGGGAGCCAAGAGGTGGAGAAGAAAATGGATTGGAGGTAGCAGAGACAGGAGTGGAGCTGAGGCAGCGGACATGGGAGGGAGTGAAGTGGCGGAGAAGGGAGGGAGCCAGGCAGCAGAGACAGGAGGGAGTGAGGAGGTGGAGAAGGGAGGAAGTAAGGCGGCGGAGAAGGGAGGGAGCCAGGGGGCGCATGTGGAACATGGCGGGTGTTTGCAGCAGGTGGTAGAGCACGAAACATGGTGGGCCTCAGCCACGGCAGGATGGTGGAGCAGATGAGTGGGGGAGCTAGACCAAGGTGGGGTGCCAGTCGCTGTCATTGGGGAAGCCTTTAGTGGTTACTGAAAATTCTTTGCTCCCATGGGCCATGGTCCTGCTAGGCGTTCGCACCTACTGCTAGTGCCAGCCCCACTTGCACCCGCTGCCAGTGCTCAGTGCCGGCCCCGATCACCCTTGAAGGCTTCTGCACCTCCCCCTGTTCCTGAGGGGTGATCAGGGCAGCAGCCACCACTTGTATCTGCTGACAGCACTGGCCCCGCTCGCACCTGATGCTGGTGCCAGCCCCAATCGCTCCGTGCCATCAGCAGGTGTGAACGAGGCCAACATCCTCAACGCGTGGGAACAGCGGCGGTGGGAGCGGGGCTGCTGGCAGGCAGGGGACCAGGGGCCACAGTGGGAGAGGCCGGGCAGGGTCATGGAGGATGGGCCAGGACATGCCCCTGTGCCCACCACAGCCTCGCAGCCCACAGTACCTTTCAAGGTACATGAATTCGTACACTGAGCCCCTAGTATAAGTATATTCAAAAGATTTATTTTTTTAGGTCTCTTTAATAGGTAATTGTTTAAGGTAAAGATAACAATAATACATTAGGAATTTTATAATATATATTAGCAATAGATGCATGACAACTATAGAATAGAGATCAGAAAGGGGGTTGGGGGATGGGTAGGAGGATAGAAGTGGTATAAATCAATAAAAATATATTCAAAAACAACAACTACATTTTTTTAAAGTAAAATGATAGGAAAAGATATACCACAGTAGAACTAATTAAAATGAAGCTGGAGTGGCTACATTCATATCAGACAAAGTAGATTTCTGAGCAAGGAATATTACCATAAAAATAGAGTAAGAGCATAAATTGAAAAAACAGGAGAAAGATCAATAAAATTGAATGCTGGTTCACTGAAAAATCAATAAAATTGATAAAGTTCTTGCCACATTGATCAGGTAAAAAGAGAGAATAAACAAATGACCAATATGTGACCAGTGAGAGAGGTTGCAACACTAAAAGCTCTACGGACATTAAAAGCATAATAACAACTTTATGCCAAAGAACACCACTTGAAGGATAAAAACTACCAGAGCTCAATCAAGAAGAAAATGATAACTTGAATAGTCCTATAGCTATTAATAAAATTGAATTTGTTATTAAAATCCATCCTACAGAAAAAAATGCCATGTCCAGATAGCTTCAATGGAGAATATTATCAAACATTTGAGAAATATTAATACAAAGTCTACACAAATCCTCTTATCTATAAAATTGAAGCAGGGGATTACTTCCCAACTTTAATTTATAAAAATAGTGTTACCCCAAGACCAAACCAGAAAAAGACATTAAAAAGAAAGAAAGAAAATATAGACTAATATCCTCCATAAACATAGATGCAAAAATCTTCAACAAAATATCAGCAAATTGAGTCTCACAATATATATAAAAAGGATAAGGCATTCTGACCAAGTGGGTTATATCTCAGGAATGAAAGGTTGATTTATTTGAAAATCCATTGATACAATTCACCATAATAGATTTTAAAAAATAATAATAATCTTGTCTGGTCAGTGTTGCTCATTGATTGAGCTTCAACCCATGAACCAAGAGGTCACTGGTTCAATTCCAGGTCAAGACACATGCCCAGGTTGCAGGCTCAATCCCCAATATGGGGCGCGCAGGAGGCGGCCGAAAGATGATGTTTCTCTCTCATCAATGTTTCTATCTCTCCATCCCTCTCCCTTCCTCTCTCTGAAAATCAATAAAAACATGTTAAGAAAAAATAATACTCTCAATACAAGAAAGGAAAAAAAGCATTTAACCTAATTCAACATTCAGCCATGGCAAACACTCTCAGCAAACTCAGTATAGAAGTGAATTTATACAACTTGATAAAGGACATCCACAAAAAACACTTCAGCTAGGATCATACATAATTGTGAAATACTGAATACTTTCCCCCTAATATCAGGACCAAGTCAAGAATGTCCACTCTCACCATCTCTGTAACACACTGCATTGGACATCTAGCCAATATAATAAGACAAGAAAAAGAAATAACACCATCCAGGTTAAAAAGAAAGAACTAAACTGTTTTTATTCAGAGAGAACATGATCATCTGAGAAATCCACAAAAAAAGCTATTAGAACTAATACTTTAGCAAA